GTGTGTGTGTGTGTGTGTGTGTGTGTGTGTGTGTGCGAAATACCATAAAATAGTAGAATTATCATGACCATGTAACAATTATGCATAGGGGTGGTCGGAACGGTCAGCGATATGTCTTTCGTCTTTCACTAAATAGCAACCTAAAACCGGTCTCAAAGGTTTTCTTTCTAAGAAAGTAATAAATAGTAAAAGAAGAATGAGTACATTAGCCTCAGTGTAAATAATTATCGAAAGGGAAGTACAAAAAGGAGCCCTCCTGTAATTTTGCAAAAATAAATTCTCCCAAATAGGTTTTACAATGTAGCAATTTCAATCATAGTGATTTATCTGAAAATTTCAGCAGTTACTTTTCGGAATTAGCAAAATGAAAGTTCAAAAATTCAGTGCAGCTCGTAAAACTAATAAATAATAGATTATATTGTTATCGAAAAGCGCTATATTTTTTACATATATTTCTCTCGATGAAAAAATGTTGCATATATGTTGCAATTTAATGTTTATTTAAAATATTCGGATTTGCTAACAATTTAGCTAAATCTCCTGAACTATAACAATCGCTGCTGAATACAAATTCGATGACAGAACTGAAGTTGGAGTATGTCGAAACAGTCAGTATATATTTCAATTAACAAAAGTGAAGAATGCCCTTTTAAAATTTTCTAAAATTTGTCACTTATCTGTTTCGAGTAATTCGATATATGATGATACAACTTTGATATTGTTATTTTTGTTTTATTTATTACTGAAATGGAAATGATTAAAATTGTTAGACATCAGTTGATTAAAATATAGCATTACCTTTTTAACTTGTTTTTAATCTTCTGGTAAAATATTCTATTCCGAAATATCTGGTCGCTAATAATCCAGTGCGACAAAGTCAAATTTTGCATATCTTCATGTGTATAATCCAAAAAATTTGAAATTAAATATGTTATCGAGTTAAGCTGGTAGGTTAAAAATAATTCATTAATACGATGATTAGCTTGCTAATAATTGAAAAGCTAGTTATGAAAGCATTAGCATTCAGTTTAGGTAGCAGTTGTAGTTTTATGCAAACAAAGTCATCAACAATTACCAATGCTAGAGGTTGTTTGTGAATTGTGCAAATCACTCGCTTTGAAATGCATCAATAGCTGTCACAATTAAGCTGTCGGAGAAAAACTTCAATAAAATAACCAAAAAGAAAAAAACGACTCAAATTCAATGCAAAAAATTCGTTGCAGTCTACAAACACGAAGGAATGATTTCAGAATTTATTGACTTTCTTTGAAAAGTTTGATTTCACACAAAAGATATGGTATAATTTAGAAAATATAAAACCAATTTGATAGCACTATTCAATGATCGAAATTTTTATGAAATTTTTGCAAGAAATGAAAAACTCATTATTTAGAATGACTACTTTTGTAAATCAATATGAAAATCTTTGTCTGAAATCAACAATTTTCCTAAACCTAAACCAGGTTTATTCGAGATTTATTAATTTTGAATTGCCTCCCAAAATTGTCCAAATAAAAAATTCTTATATTCCAAAATTTTTAAAAAAGTTAATCATTTAATGACTGAAAATCGAACGAGATTTGACTATTACGTACTATAATTTCCAAATTAAAAAAAAAACTTTTTAATTATTCGTCGATTATTGATTAAAACTTCCTATGTGATACCCACCACAGTTATCACCAGTTTCCCTATAAAGCAATTTTGCTTGAATGAAATTTCACTATCGTACATATTTCATAAAATTATCATTTCGCTGTCATCAAAATGGCAATTCATTTTATTAAATAATCGGCGATATTTCTCAAAAAAAAAAGGTGCAATAATAAATGAAACGCTGTACTAATCGATGTAAATGAAATTGCAAAAAGTTGTTAAATTTCTTTAAGAAAAAGATGCGCAGCTGTGCACTTTGGATGTCTGACAACGGATCAATAAATTTATTTTCAGGCATCGTTTTTAAATAGGCAATGCATTTATTGAAAAATATATTCAATGTTTTTCTAACTTTTCATTTCACAGGATTTTTTTTGCTTATTTAAGTGTCCATATGTTTAAGTGAGCAAGAATTCAAAACTAAAATAAACATTGAAAAGAAAAATTTTACTTCGTTTTTGAAAGAAATCTATAAAAGCAATTCTAAAAGAGTATAAATTCTAATTTAAACGAATGCAAAAAGTATAAAAAATACTAGCAAGAAGAACTTGAAATTTTCGCTTTGGAATATTTAAATGTCATAAGGCAAGCTAGAAAGAATTAAAAGAAAAAAAAAATGTCAATACGAAAAAAGAGAAGGAAAAAAAGGAAAAGCAAAGAATGAAAGATTGGAAGTGAAAAATGAAACGATGAATCAGTGATTTAAATATTTTTATGATTTCATCAAACATAACCGAATACTTCTGATAACAATGTCGTTTGTTGCTATTCTCAGATGAATAAACAAGGTAAAAAAGTTTCCTTTTTACGCAAAATCAAAAAATTTCATCATAACAATACTGAAAGATTATCCATAAAAGCTATCAATGCATTTAATTGATAGTTATATTAGTATTCTAATAAGCAACTTGGAATCTGATTGATACAACAGATAAATCAGGAAAAATATAGCAGGAAATACAGTTATGAACGATAATTGAATCGCCGAAAGAATTAATTAATTATTCTTGATATTAATGAAATTCATCAAAAAATCACTTCTCAAAGTTATGTGGTTAATGATTTCATTATTGACCTAACATTACAATATTGCATTATTACAAACATTCCATAATAATTTGATTTTTCCTTATCATACATTTAAAGAGATAATTAATGCTAGACAAAAAAAAGAAATCATAATAATGCTTCAAATTGTTTGAGAAACAAATATTCAAATAATAAAATTTAAAGCTATTATATAACCAAAGTTAAAACTTTGGTTCAGTTGAATTAAAATGACAAAGAGGCAAATAAAAATTAGAAAAATTACTAGAACTTCCACATTCAATTTAATACTGAATCAGTCGAATAGCTCAATAATTTCCATTCTGTTTGAAATTAAAAAATATCTCAAATCACATATGTCAACTTAATGAATATAAATAAATGGTGCAATAGTAGGATAGAAATCAACGGACTTCCTTTTCAACCTCATTCTATAACTCCGATAGCAATTGATTATCAAAAGAGTTCCAATATGAATTTTAATCTGTTTGATTGAATCAATCAATAATCATTAAAATGCAAGATATTAATACTTTGATATTATAATAAATTCAAATAAATGTTTTAACAAATATTTTAAACGTCTATGATATAATATATGAAATCGTTTCAAAATGATAAACTTTGCATTGCAGAAATGATAAGAAGAAATTAGTCAGATTGTGGCATTTCAATAATAGCAAACATTGGAATTATTAATGAATGAAAATCAGAAGGGAATATTAAATGAACTAAAAAAAGAGTATAAAATCAAATTTTATAGACATTTAATGGATGGAAGATTTTAAAAAAAAATATTATTTATGTATCTCGAAACCAAATTTTTTAGATGAAAAATATTGAGAAAGAAAAAAGTGTAATATGAAATATTAAATTTTAATCTGGAAAGGGCAAACTTCGATTTCTATTACGGCTCTCTGATAAACATAATGCAAAATGTCTGTGTATTGTATAGATAAAAAGTAATTAATTAATACGAGTAATTTTATTTTTTATTTTGCATGCTACTAATATCATTTATGCCTAATTACTCTTAATTTGATATAAAATTGTACAAATCGATTATTTATTTTCATGTAAAGTATTAGCTTTGCCTTTGATAAATATATCATTTTAGTATTTCAATTTTCTATTTGCTCAGATGCTCGATAGCATTAGTCAGTGAATTTGATTCAATTTTTAAATTTCCGCAAGTCATACTCGTATTAATTAATAACTCGTGATCAAAAATATCGATGGAAAGAATAGAATGGAATGAAAGGAAATGAAATATAATGTAATGAAATAATATATATAATAATGACAATACGAATCATATACAGGGGATTTACTCTTTACTACTATTAGTTGAATTCAAAATATGATCAAAAAAAATAATCAGATTGGAAGCAATCGGAAAATTTGTTATAAATAATACATGTATCAAATAAAAACTTAAAAAACCTGATTGAAAAAATTAATTTTGATGATATCATAGGTTATGTGAGACATAAGAATAAATGAAATCAATATCTAATATCATTAAATTAAATTTAATTTAGTTTAGTAAAGAGAATTACAACACTTACTCTTTGTGATGATGATTCAGATGGGGTTCTCAATGATTGCGATGGTGGTGGTGGCGGTGGTGGCGGTGGTGGTGGTTCTGATGGTGGACTTGACATTCCTGAAATAAATTTTAATTTCTCATCATACGAAACCATTAAAATTTCTTTTCAAACCGTACTTACCATTCTAGTTCTTTGAAACAATTTTAACTTAAGTGATTTTAACAATTGAGAAATTAAAACATTAAAGGATAAACATTAATGCAAAGGGAATATAGTGTGAAACATTGCTAAAAGCATTTCAAAATATTCATGTCAGATAAACAGGTAAATAAATATGTCAACAAACATATGAAACAAGTTCGAGATTCTCTTCTTTGATATTTCTTCCCCTCTTTCTCTCTCTCTCTCTCCAAATATAAACCACCATTTCTCATCTCTCATTTTAAACGCAATCTAAGATTTACAAAGCAAACAAAATTTACAAAACAAATAAACGAAAGAATTATGGCTTTTTCGAACTTTCACATTAGAAAGATCATGTAAGATAAGTGCGCTACTCTATTATTTTCTCAGAATAACCATTGTGGGAATGGAAAATAGGCTTGACGTTGGAAATATTTCGGAAATCATTCGCTTTTTTTAATATTTTATGCTTGCGTGCTTTTTTTTATTCAACTTTGTTTGAACAACGCCCACACCATATGGCTAATTCAAGGAGTACTGTAACAGAAATCCATTTGCATTTTCTAATCTCAAATGAACATTCATTAACCTGAGATTGCCCATATTTAAGTAATTAAAGATATGAAAATGCACTTAATTGTGATACAACATAACAATAATGGTTGTAGTGATAATAAAATTATTAATGCCTGCGAGTACAATTATGACTATTACTAATTTCTTACTGTAATAGCAATTATTGATTTCTCATTATCAGCACAAATCAATCGAAAGTTAAAATGGTCCAAAAATATTTATTTACTTATTTACTCAGCAAATGAAATGAAAATTTTTACAGTCTTTAAAAGAATAACTTTCGAAACAGATATCTTTTTTGCTGAATTTAGCAAGTCAATTACAATGACAGTAACTTACATATTTTCTAAATAAATGAAAGATGCGGACAGATTGGACAGATTACACGCGAATCCTTACAATGATCAGAAGATAGTGAGAAAAATAAGTGGAAAATCGAGATTCCATTGGCGCTAAGCGATTGATACGATCAGACGGAGGTTGAGAAGGAGGAGGAAAAGTGTTGGTAATGGTTGGAAGAACCAGCCTGAGTGTATGATATAGCGTTTTATTGTTGTTGATGCTGCTGCTGCTGCTGCTGCTGATGTTTGCCGATAATAATCGCTTCTGCCACCGACATCGCTATCGTTGTCGTTGTCGCCGTCATTGTCACCATCGTCACCATCCTTACCATTATCATCTTCTTGCCCAATACGTCGACCTCGACCTGTTTTTCTCCCCTCTTCAATGGAATTTTACATCCGTAAAAAGCATATTAATGCTTTACTAATTCATTTCAAATTAAGATTTAATTTGGAATGATTATGGGTGATAGCTAAAAAATAAATTAAAATTTGAAAATTTATACAGAAAGAAATACTAAAGGGCAATCATCATCAGAACAATTTAATTCGATCAGAACTTTTTTCCACTTTTTTGAACGTGGAACGTTTCTTTTGAGCGTTTCTTTGAAAAGCATTATGCTACAAAATTCTGAAAGAAGAATTTAAACTTCTTAATTGTTTTAATAATTCATCAAATTGACCTATTTGAAAAATAACCTTTGAGGTCACTCCTTCTAATTCCCGCACGGCTAACAGTTGTTGATGCTGTTGCAACGTTATTTCTTGCAGATGTGATATCGCTATTTTGTTCACCGTTAGTCAAATCTTCAAGACTAGCAATGGGTGGTGCACTACTAAATAATAGAGGTAGACGGGAGGTTGTAGCAAAAGAGGATAAGGCTGGTGACACCGGTTGACAATTGTTGTTGGTTGTCGAGGCAACTGCAGTAGTACTGGTAAATATTGTTTGGTTCGTTAACGAATGTCCAATGTCCTTGGATGCACGAGATGACAGTGTAGCACTAATCGGTAGCACATCATCATTTAATTCTCTGCAATTTATCGCCTTATATCCGCAAACATTAGCTGTAAAGTGCATGTAAAATAACTTAACTTATGTGGCCAACGCCAAGAGTGACCACTGCCGAATTTTTGAAATGAAAAACTAATGGCTATTACATTATTGCTGTTGACAACGAACGTGAATAAAATCAGAGTAAGATGATACGGTAGATTGTATTCCCTCGCATATCTCATCCAATTCTTGACCTCTTTGACACGGAACTATTGTTAATTATTAAGTGTTAAGTGAGAGAAATGAAATAATAAGGATAGTTTCTCATGATATATATCCAATATTTTTTCTTCTCTAACAAAGTTAAGGATGAAAATTTGATCAGTGTAATGGCAGGACATCGGGATTACAATACTCCGATTGAAGGTTGTGTGAGTTTCTCTTGCAAAACGTATTAAAACGGAAAGTAAAAAAAACCGGGAATATTTCCATATATATATATATATATTTGGTAAGGAATTAAAATCTCACAATGGTTTTATAATGATACAATAAACGAAACAGAATTGTTCACAATGTAAGATAATGCAAATTCAATTACTTTTACATGCCCAATTTCAAAAGTTTCATTTAAAATTCTTAGAACTGCTATTTTTGCAAATTCCTTTTTTACGAGAAATATATATATATATATTACTGGAATGCCTTGGAAATTGCTAAATCATCGACAGTTCGTAATAAGGAAGTAGATTTAGCACAAATAAAATAATTGAGTGAAATTAAAATTTACCCAGTTGCAGCAAGTTGTTCTTCCATAATTGCAGCTTCATCGATCGGATTAGAACAGATCGAGAAATCAAGTACTGAATCACGCGAATGATCGATAGATATAGAAGTGGAATTCAATGAACACGTTTCTTCACTACAAAAAAAAAACTATTTTAAAAAATATACAAACTTATGATAAATTTACACAGACAATTTCATAAATTTAATTTAAATCTTTCAAATTTGAAAGTTCGAATTAAAAGATCTGTATTCTCAAAGGGAATTTAATAAGATTACATATCATTTGGCACACTTAGAAAATAAGTGAAATTAATATCTCTTTAAAAATGTAGTTTAATAAAGAAATTCAGGAAAACGGAAAGGAAGCTTTGTATGCATACAAAAAAGTGAAAGTGTATCGAAGAAGAAAGGTTCTTAAATCATTCAATTTAAATTTTCATTATGTTTTTTAAAATATTTAAACATTTTTACACACAATTTTTTTCTAGAATTCAAATTTCCCAAATCACTCAAACATATACAATTATTTCAATTTTTAAAATGAAAAATCAAATAAATGAGAGAGTTGCTGTCAGCGTTAGAATGTCCCTTTTATTCGGTTTATATAACGATTCGAATTAAAAATTTTTTAGTTGAAAGCAAAATTTCTATTGCAAATCGTTCACAAGAATTGAACTTGTTGTTGTTGGAAACGTATGATCATCAAGTTCACATAAAATCAAAGTGCAAGCTCGGTACTCCAAACAAAGTTGCGTGATTGAAAAGTTTGCTATTTTTTATGTTCATTATTTTGCGTAATCGAAAAGTCTATCATTCAAAGGTAAAATTCCAAAATACTTAATCCATTAGATTGACATCACACATTCTCGAAAATCGCAATTATAGTGCAATTTATAAAATGGAAGCATTAAGATTTTAAAACTTAAACCCGAATTCTCCCGCGGATTAAAAATATTTATTGAAAGGATCAAGGTGACAAAAGTAGGACTACTGGAAACGATGACATCTAACAAAAGCTTTGTCGTAGGGATTTCTCGAATAAATATGGATTACATTACCTGCGTAAAATATTTTCGATTGATTTGGTGACGAATTGTGTAAATCCGAAAAGCATTAATGAGAATTATATTTCAGTAAGTAGCCACACATTTCATTTCTTCAACCATCAAAATAATTTCCTCGCATATTTAGAAACTTAGATAAAATTTAAATTTGACACAAAGTCTCATTTTTTTTAAGCAAAATTTGCAAAATACGGCATGGCCTCATTAAAATGATAACCGAAGAAATATTTTAATCTATAACTGCTTGGAATAGAATTTAGTGACAAAACCTCCCTCGTTCATTTCAAATATTACTTATCAATTGAGCATGAGAATTTTATACTTTTTTATCATTTGAAATTAACCATTCTCAATTGAAATATATAAATGTTTAAGAATAATATTTATCCAACGTGTCAAATATTCGGCAGATAGGAACTATAAATTACAAAGTAAGCAATTTTTAAAATTAAGTTTCATCAAGTTTTCTAAATTTTTTTTAGTCTCGAAGCTATTTAATTTCGCCTAAAAACAATTTCAATTCATTTAAAAAATATAAGAAATGTGAAAATATCAAAAAATTAAAACTTAATTGAAGATTACATGATGTTACTGATGATAAGAATAAATTCCACATTTTATCACTTAGTATTCTTTGATAAGTGTTGAATGAGACATTTTATTTTTGCTTAAGAAACAAAAAATAAAAGTATGTTTTTCGAAAATTTAAAAAAATTAAAGTCCAAAAAAGGATGGGAAGTATTAGTGAAACATTCTTTTTGAAATTTGATTTAATTTTTGAAATTTTTAAGTGATAATAAAAAAGTATCATTGGATTGAAACTTTGTAAAATATAGCAATTTAATTTTTATCAATGCTAATGTTATGTGCAAAAGATGACAAAAAAATGGTATCATCGAAATAACTGAAACAAAATAAATGGGAACGAATTAACGCACAATGAATTTTCCTTCAAAATTTTCTGTTAGAAACAAATTTAAATTATAATTCAATGATAGTTTTAGTATAGTTAATAATAGTCTTGTAGTATTATTTCTTTTACTGAAATACAGTAGTATTACTTTTTCATCGTAAGCTTATCATTCAATGTCTTTGGTATAGATTTTGGAGATAGTATGAATATATTAAAAAAAACTTTGAAACTGTAAAATTGTTTTGGCCAGATACTTTTCATGCATGCTGCATGCATGTTATAAGGCTGAAAAAATAAAATTTGAAGATGAAGAAGTAATCAGCAAACTTACTTCGAGATATTATCTAATAATCCACTAATAACTATCTCATTTTGATCACGATCCCGAGAGTTAGAATGATCAATCAGTGATGAAGCAGGAACGCTGCCAGCTGGCGAAACAATATCAGTAATTCGTTTCATTTTATTTTGCTCTGTGAAATTGATCAATTTATTCTGAAAACGATAGACGTAAATGAATTCCAAGCTGAAATTGAACAATTTATTCTGAAAAAGACATTCATGAATTCCAAACTTTTTCTTTTTAATAAAATGCTAATTTTTGCATGACAAAAATTGAAATTGCCGCAAATCGCAACTACATCTTCTTTTAGATGATAAAAAAGAAAATTTTACAAAAATTTTACTAAAATATATTTTTATGCAATCAAGAAAAGAAAAAAAGAAAATTATTTAAAGATAAAAAAATGGTTTATAATATTGAAATATTCATTGGCTATGAATTATATCTACCAGCATAATAAATCTTT